CAAACATTTCCCATCCAGTGTCTTCTTAAACAAACTTTATACACATTTATGGAGAATCTGTGGTGTTTGATACATGCACTCATTATATATGTCCAAATCCATATGCATGAATCTTCCTGTCCACATGTTTAACTTTCCCTTGTGGTGAAAACATTCAGATTCCTTTTTGCAGATTTTTTAAGTACTCCATAGAGCACCATTAACTACAGTCACTCTACTGTTCACACCATAACTTCTATTGTTCTTGTCTCCCTATGACTTAGTGCCATGGAGCAGCCTTCTCCATGTCTAGCTCCGCCCTACTCTCCCTGCCTCTGTCCTCATCATCTATCATAATCAACTTTTAAATCCCACACATGAGATAAGTGAGATCATATGGAGAAATACTTCCTATATAAACACCTCATATTCGTGGCAGGTAGGACAAACATGTTTGAATGTCCTCAACATGAGTTCTTCAGGTTGTTTTGTGTAGTGTACAATGGGTAAAATGTGACCTTCCATATTATATATCAATATAAGTACATTTGCCTAGGTGTGAGCACTTCAAACACCCTTAGATGTTGCCCTGTGTCTTTCTTAGAGGAATAACAATCTCCAAATAGATGTCTGGAGGAGACGCTCAGGAAGAGAAATAATAATCCATGGGTACCCCAAGCCAGAATGAGCCTTGTGAAGAGCTCAGAGAGGGAGCTGTCGCAAGAGCCCTCTGGGGAGGATGACTTAGTGATGTCCAACCACACGTCCACGATTGCAGCTGCTGTTTTCTTATAGGAGAAAGATAAGTCTGTGGGATATGCTTTGAGGAAACACTAATGGTGTCTGTCTGGCGGCTCATTGTTCTTTTCTCTAGTCTTATAATTGCTACCATTTTTAAAATTGTATTTAATAATACAGATGGCGCATTAGGTGTTCAAATGCTTCCCTCTAGTGTTTGCACATGTGTACAACAGGGCAAAGGAGGGAACTCCTTTGCCTATGTCTGTTTGGGTTTGTTCCCAAGTGTAACATGGATATAGTTTCATGTCTAGAAAAAAAAAATTATAGCAAACCCTGGAACTAAAAGTCATTTCATAGAAATAGCAAACTGTGTCCATCCAGGGACTTTTCTTGGCTTGCTGTGACGAAAAGGGTACTGGATTTGTATGACACAGCCACATGGTGACCACAAACATAACTACCCGACTCTCCCACTAGATAAAACATCCAATCACCATTCCTTAAAACTGTCAAGGTGCAAAACCTGAGGGAAGATAGAAGTTTCATTAATATCGTCCTCCATATTCCTACCTATCCTGTCCTCTGATCTCAAGTTCTGGATATTTTAAATCAAATATATACTAACATGCACAACACTGAACATATATTCAGATTAAATTTACTATTAAAGTGTATTAAAATGTGATGGGGTTTCAGGTGGGAACAGAACTATCTTGGAGACTGGACTATAGACCATGCCGTGTTATGTTTGTGCAGGGAACCAAGCTAGGCTTTGCCCTGTGTTCTCAAAGCTGAGTGAATATGAACTCAGAAGTAAAGAATTAATTGGTTTTGCAGAGGAGGGAGCAGGCAGAGAGAACAAATAGGAGGAGAAATCTAGACTCAAGGAGAGAAAAAGGAAGAATGAGAGGGGGGAACAAGGGAGAAGCCCGAGAGCAGAAGCCAGTCAGCCCAGCACTTATCCTTTTTCTATTTAGCTATTGGCTGCTCATCTTTTTGTTAGCCCAGGCAGGTGCCTTATTTAGACAATGTGAAACAAATACAACACATCTTATCATAATTAAACAAATGCAGCACAAACAAAAGTAATGAACCTTTGCACAGTCAAAGTAATATCCTGTAGCATAAGCAAATTTAACACATCTTTGCCTAGTTAAAATAATATTCTACAACAGGATACAAGAAAAGCAAAAGGCCCTGAAAAGTGAAGTTAAAAGAGCTATCCGGAAAAGAGCTAAACTAAGGCCAGCATTCAAAACTAGTTAAGTCTCCATGATATGATTTGGGAACTGGTTGGTGCCCCAAAAGAAAAAGTCTGGTACAGTATCCCAAGAAATATTCTGAAAAATAAATCTGGAGGTTCTGTCCTCCTCTGCTAATGTTTCATTCAGTCCTATTTCATTCTTTAAATGTTGAAAATGCTTTTCCTCCCCCTACCTCCTTCCCTTCTTCCCTTTTGGATTCTGTTTGGGCATCATGTTTTGAATGCTATTGACAGCTTGGGATACTATATTGAAAGTCCTGGGGACTTTAGGAAGACATGACTGACAGAAGCAGGTCACTAGAGCCGGGTCTTTACAGGCCATATGCCATGGTTGTGGCCAGTGTTGTGTGAGCACCAGTCATCTCTCCCAGGCTCTCCCTGACACACCTTTAGCATGAAGAACTGAAATCTCTCAGCCTTCAACCAGGAGCCAAAATAAACTATTCCACTCTGAAATATTTTCTGTCATGTATTTTGTCACCATGATGACTGTCCACCATGATAAATGTAAATCCCTCTGAAACCAGGAGCCCAAACCAGGTAGGGTCTCTGCTTGTACACACTGTGAAGGGACACACCCTTGCGATGCTCCTGCCACCATGCCTTCCCCGTCACAGTGGGATGGAAGTTCTCTGAAGCTGTCCCCAGAACAAACCTGTCTTGCCTTGTTTTTGTCCAGTGTTTGCTTCACGGCAACACAAAAGCCATGGCCAGCCCAAACGATGCTGCAAATGTCCTTTCTCTTCACACACTGGCTTCCAGGCACACTCCACTCCATGGTTGGGCAGTTTCCATATCTTTGACTATCATGCTACCATCTGTTAGACACATCTTAGAACTTGAAGAAACTCTGTGTCCCAGAGCCAAAGTCCTTCATTTTCTACTAGATGGAAGAAAGTCACTGTTGCCTCTTGATAAGGAATGCCAGAAATGGAAATATGATAGAGTGGGTTGACCTTGAACCTTGGACACAAAATCCAAACATCTACTTGTTACAAGATTTCAAGATGTTTAGCATCTAAGTCAAATTCAAGTTACAGTATGGTTAACATCTGGGGCTGGGTCTGTTCAGTGCCAGAACACTCCCTTATCATAGGGGAGGGCCTGGATTAGAACCCCAGCAGCCTCCACTATCACTGCTCTGTTGCCTCACACCCTGCTTGTCTCCGCTTTGGCCCCAGCATCACTGTCCTTCTGGCTGGACGACATGACTTCTCAGAGGGAATGTAGGATCAGAGTACATCTTATCTTGCCAATCATCAAGACAAGAGTTACACATTTTGAGATTTCTCAGTAAAACATGCCCTGTCCTAAGTGTAAGGATATCTGCAACTTCCACTGTACACACACACACACACACACACACACACACACACACACACACACTGTATTAGTTAGGAACATATGAAGACACAGAAGAACCTGGGATGTGGTGCAATGAAACACCAAAGATGCTGCCATGTCCCTGCTTCCCCGAGGAGATATCGGTTTCAACACACTTCACAAACAGATTGACTTATGCAGGCCTCCAATCCAGTCCTTGATGACAGCCTTCTGTGACTGGCCAAAGGGATTCCTTGCTTGATGGAGCATGCTTTAGAAATGCTTTGTTTATTTTTTTCTGTGACATTTGGAAGAGGGTCTGGAAGCCCTTTTAATTTCATGGCTTCTACTTGGGAAAACATAAAGTACTTCTTTTTAATTTCCAGGAGTCACGCTGAACATATTGTGCAATAACTTTATTGGAAATGAGAATTTAATGTAGATAAGCCTACTTTCCCACCCTCCCTGCTGTGCTCTTCACACAGAGTGTGTCCCCTACTCCACTGGTGATCTGGGCCCCAACACCCACTCCCTCCCTGGGGAGTCCACATTGAGACTTGGGGGATTCCATTTATCTGGGGATGGCCATGTTGGGGGTGAGCTCAGGCATGGCAGAGTGGTTCACATTCCATGTGCTGGTCCTATACCACAGAGTGGTTGAATATGGACAGTGCCTAGTCACAAAAGACCCCTTTGCCTGGTGTCTTTTCCTCATCCGGTTCCCATTTGTTGTTCTCTTGCTGCTGTCACATCATTCCAAAATCCTAGTTCTCTTTCCCTTATATTAGATAAATGCCAAGCAGCCTTTGGCCTAAACACTGAAGTCCTTGCCACCTGTGACCCATCACAAGAAGGGGCCCTCGGGTGATTCTAATCATGGGTGACAATCTCCTCTGGCATTTGCACTTCTGTGGAGATGGAGACATATGTTTATGGCAATGAAACAAACCTATCTAGTGAATAAACAGTCTACAGAATAGGAGAGAAAGTCACTAGCTGTATATCTGACAGAAGTTTAGTATCTGGAATATATAAGAACTCAGGTATCAAGATCCCTAGTAGTTACAGGCTCCAGACTCAGGATACAATATAATAACTCAAACAAAATAAATGAATAAGTACTAATAAACCAATCAATCAAATAAATAAATGGGCTAATGAAATGAGTTCTCAAAAGATGAAGCAGGTACAGCCTATAAACATGTGAAACAATGTTCATTGTTAGTGGCCACCAGGGAAAGAAAATAAATACCACAGTCAGATCCCGTCTCACCCGAGTCAAAAAAGACAGATAACAACTAGTGCTGGTGGGGTGTGGACAAAGGGGAACTCACCACTGGGGGGAATGTAAGCTGGTCTAGAAACTACTGAAATCAGTGTGCAGACTACGGAAAAAACTAAAAATGGGTCGTCTTATGACAGACCCGGGAGCTTTCCTAAAACACCCCTACCCAAATCCAGTATTTTTGTTGAATTTTATTCTCTAAGAATTAGTAGTTTTGAATTAGTGGCTTCTGTGTACACATCAGATAACATTTTATAAAGCAACTGAAAGTTATTACAAAATACGTATGTGATCCAAAATGAGGGAATTCTTCCCTCCCGTGAAAGATACTAGAAACAATAGCTCACTGGACCTAAACCAGGAAAACTTCAATAATCAGTTCTTTTCTATCCAATGATTTGATGCTTAAACATTTTAAATTAAGTTTATTTGAAAGTGGCAAAAGTTGAACCTCTAAGTATTTTTGTCTATAACTAGTTCAAGATGCCTAGATTTAAAAACAAAAAAAAATGAGAACAAATAATACATCCCCTAGTATTAACTGGACAAGGGAAAAGTCTAATGTGAGAAGAGAAGATAAATCCTGAGACTTTGCATGAATGTTTCAATGACCTTCAGATACAGACCCTCTTCTCCCACGGCGAATTCTGAAAGCCCACTTGTGAGGCGGCCTTTCTGCTTTGTGAACAGTGTATTTCCCAAGATGAGAAGTAAGGGCATGGTGAGTGTTGGCATAGATTGCAGAGCACAGACTTTAAGGTCCTGTCTTTATGAATACGGGAATACAGACTCCGTTTCTCATAATTCACATGACACATTTTGGTTGTGGTTGTCTGTTAAATTTCCTGTTTTGGACCAGATTCAGCAAACCAAAATAAACAGCTCACAAGGAAAGTTTGGGTGGTGACTTCCCCCTCTTTTGATATTTCCAGTTGTCCATTTTTCCCTTGGAGGTACAGAAGAAAGGAGAGACAGGACCACATGGTCCAGTAAGTGGGTCACAGCAGTTTTAGGGCACCAAAGAAGGTCCCATCTCCATCCAGTGAAATCTGTGCATTCTCTCGAGGTATTGCAAGCTGAATCTCATCTCCTTCTTCAAGTCTAGCGATGCCTGGGAGGAATGACAAGAGTTTTCAGTAGTTGCTATTTAGTAGGGCACATTAAAGGAAGCTATTTTGTATTGTCAACACAAGTATTCACACTTCACTCACAGCAATGGACCTCTAAATTGGTCATAATTCTGTAAGTTTTAAAATTAAATAAAATGCTGAATTAAGAGGAGAAACAACAATTGATTCTAGCAGATGTGTGCCCACTGTGTATAGACAGGGATTCCAGGAGCAAATGTCAATGTCAGGTGGGTCAAACCTTGTTCTTTGAGAGACTATCATATATCACTGGTGGGTATGGCTTAACTTTGTTACTAAAGGAAACTTTTAATAATATTAAAATGTAAAATTACACATGTATATAAGATAGACAGACAGACAGACAGCCCTAATTACATCCTTTTGTAGCTTGAGTGTAGCCTAGCATTATGGTAGCCCCTTTTCATTAGTTTTTATTAGTTATTATTGAGTGAGAATGAATGACATGTATGGACACATGTCCCAGCATGTGTATGAAGGTCAGAGAACAACTTTGTGGAATTGGTTTTCCCCTCCCACCTTTACACAGGTTCTGGGATCAAACTCAGATTGCCATGTGACCTCAGTGCCTTTGCTTGGTGAGCCATCTCACTAACTCTTGATTATAAGTTTAAACCAGCTACCACTGAATTAAAATGCAGCCCAGAGCGAGACGATGTCTCAAAAGCCAAAGATAAATATCTAAAAATAAAAACCTTCTTTAATATCAATCTAAACTGTGGAACAGTTTTCTCTGAGTCAGGGCTTTTGCTTTGGCATCCTTGGAGTTTCTTCTCACAGCCTTCTAGACTTTTGAGTTTCCTTAAATGACAGTGGTTATCTTTATGATCAAAAGAAACAAAATAATAAACTCAAACTCCTTGATATGTTAGCTATATCTGTTTGTGCCTAATTTACAGCAATGTATTTTGGAGCTTGGAATGTAAAATTGTGCTCAGGAACCTCATTCTGTCTATCAGGTAACCATCACTGACAAACAGTGCCAAACAGACATGCTGTACATGGTGCCTGTGTGTTTCATGAGGTAACAATCAGGGACAAACAGTGCCACACAGATATGCTGTACAAGGTGCCTGTGTTTCGAAATTTGCAAAACATTAATGGATTAGTACCTTATGAGTTAAAGAAAAGAGTGTGAAAAGAGATCAGAACATATGTGTTGCAAGGGTTTATGGCTGCCCTGGATACTAAACATGATGTAATACTGTGGCCACGGCTATAGCAAACACTGTAAGCTCTAGAAATGGGTGTCAATGGTGATCGGCTCCTATTTCAGAACCTAGCATGGAGTTATTGGCCACTTTAGTCCTTCCCAGGCTGTAGAAATCACCCATGACATTGTCCCCATATGGGAAGCCTATCCAACTCACCAACAAAACAATTACTCATCTCCGTATAAACAAGAGTTCCTCAGTACGATGCTGGGTGTCTCAAGCTCACCACTTGAGTTTGGGTGGGTTAGTGTAGAGTCATAAAACAAACTCAAAATTAAACTAGCAAGCTTGAAACTTCTTGGAGCTGGTTTTCATTTACAGAGCTGACCTACTGATACTGAGACATACCTTCTGCATAAAAAGGGTTATCCTTAAAAAAAAAAGGAGGGGGGACCTGGGGCAGTCTGTCAAAGACCACACACAGGAAGGAACTTCGAGGAAACCAAATGATCTGGAATGTTTGGGCAGTATTAGCTGAAACATTCTATACTAAGTGTGAGCAACACAGTGAAGAGGCTTTTCCACTGATAAATATTTGCAAAATCAAAATGCTACTCAGCACTGGGTAGAGAGGCAGACTCCTTTATGAAAATTAGGGACTTCCAACATGACAGACTTCCTCCTGATCACTGAAGTCATTACGGGCTGCAGATCTGGTATGGCATGGCCTCTGTGATGGAGTTGTGTTCTCTTCTGCTTGCAGCTGATTTATCGGGTGTTTGTAAAGACCTTTCAGATACTTTAGAGGTATTTCACAATCCTGGCTTTCACATTGCTGTTTGCTGTAACTGTCTGAGACTAAAGACATTCTTCCGGTTCTGAATAGGTTTGTGAAGGCCAGTAGAGAGAAACACACATGCCTAATAGGGAAAACAGTTTTCTAATACCAGTGCCTATTAATTTGAAACAAAATGAGTAAAATGTTGCCAGTTCCAGAGTGGAGAGACTGGAACTGATACAGTCTGTCTTCCCTGCGCATCTGTGTCCCTGAGCATCTGTGTCCCTGAGCTACATGCAAGGCTTCTCTTGCAATTTTGAGTTCACAACTAGTCATGTGTACAAGGCCACCTGTTTTCCCATGAGAACTAACCCAGGCATTCTGCAATATGCTCTTCCTTGCACTCAGAGATGAGTGGGGTCATTGTTTCCATTACACACTCACATTGTGGGGACAGCAGTGCTGTAACTTGAGGCTGAGGCACTTAAGGAGCAGCCATGTTACTTCTGTGGCTGGCATTCTCCCTCACATGGGAATGTTACAAAAGTAAGGAAGCATGACTGGCAGATGGTGAAGCAGACAGATAACTGAGCAGCAAAAGAAAGACCAGAATTTTCCCAATGAGTAGACATTGTTCCTGTTGCTGCAACTGTGGTTTCCTGCACAGCACCAGAACAAGACTGGGACCCTCAGCTCTGCTTCCAGGATTAGGGAGGGGCTTGTGAACCCACACCTCTCCTGGAAGACTATTGACAGTTCATGGCTTCTGGGGAAGGGGCAGACAACTGTCATTGTCTTCAGTAGTGTAACTACTAAAACGCTGCTCAGGCTCCATAACCTCCCTCCCATGCTCATGAAGCTACCATAATTAATCTTAGTGGGGCTAACACAGAAAAAGACAGGAAAGCAGGAGGGGCTTGCTTAGAAGAAGAAGGGACACCACAGAAGAGAAAGGTGGCTAAAGAGTGTAACAATGATATAAGAAGGACTAAAAATCATATACTTTGTCACGGGATAGAAGAAAAATAATTATCGCTCCAATGTTAAACCCTGTGACACTCATTCTTAATTTTTAAAACACAATTATTTCATTTAAATATTTTTCATGTGTTTTTGTATTTTTCCTGCATGGATATATGGGCTCTATGCATGTACAGTGCCCAAGGTGACTGGAGAGGGTGTCAGGTGCCCTAGGTCTAGAAATCCCAGCAGTTGTGAGCTGCCATGTGGGTGCTAGGAATCAAGCCTGGGTCCTCTGGAAAAATAGCAAGTGCCCTTCTCTGCTTAGCTGTCTCTTCAGCCACCTTCTTAATTTTTATAAAAATGGCTTGACCATTAGTGACAACACTGGTTTTCTCAATTAACACAAACTATTGCAAAATAAACAGTATGGTCTACAGAAGAAGGCCTTTCCATTAAGATCACAAAGAACCACTTTGGGGGGATCAGATTTCCCCAGCACAGTCTACATTATCCTGTTAAACAAGTCTTAGGACAGCTTCATACCAGCTGAGTAGCAGGAATTGTTGGGCAGTGTTCTTGGCATATTCTGAATGCATCGGAACAGGGTCACCAGACTGAGCTCGTCCCCAAAAACATGCACTTTCTTCCTCTGGATAAGATGTCCCATGGCAAAAATGGTATCTGTGTATAGAACCTGAGAAACAAGCCAAGATGTTGTCAGATATGCAAGACTGTGGAAGCACTGGACCAGGAAAGATGAGGAAAGGTCTGACACTACCTGGCTGTAGATGAAGAAGTAACCCGTTTGCTTCACCACGATTTTGTTCTCTTTTTCCTCCAAGGCGCTTCCTCTTTTAAAGCTGAGAAGCCATGGAACAAATGTGTAGGATCCTGTAGTAGAGATAATATCTCATAAGAAAGCAAACTGAGAAAAGCAGTTTTCCCTTCCACCAAGAAGGGAAATAGAAGAAGGAGAAGAAGGAGGAGGAGAAGGAGAAGGAGGAGGAGGAGGAAGAGGAGGAGGAAGAGGAAGAAGAAGAAGAAGAAGAAGAAGAAGAAGAAGAAGAAGAAGAAGAAGAAGAAGAAGAAAATCTTCATTGTGCTATTACATATTTTAGCATGGGTAACCTTGGTGCCTAACAGACTTCACTCCACAGGAATGTTTGGGTTTCTTTCCTTGTTTTGTATATTGGCTATTTCCTTATTAAAGTTGGTTTGGGTGGGAAAGCCAGAAAGAGAGAATTGGATGCTCCCCTGCACAGCACACTCAGAGTATCTTCTTCTATCTTCTGAGTAATCAGGTGAAGAAATCAACAAAATGTGTCTGGAGGAAGTAAATCTGGCAGCAGAACACAACTAGGAAGTTCGGTCAGCAACGGAGACATACCCTGTACTTGGAAGTGCTCAGAACCCATGTACCAGGAGTACAACATTGGCTATGATGGGTTCTGAGCACTTCACAGTACAGGCTATGTCTCCATCGCTGTCTGCATTTCCTATCCAGAGTGACAGGAAGACACTGTGCTCCAGCCTGTATTGAAGGAAGACAGAGAGGGCAGAGAGAGCAGCAGAGGGAACCAAGCCAAACAATACAGCAGATGTTGCCTAGATCTCAGGGAGATTTGCAAGCACACATTTCCTAAGAAAAAGCTTACTCACGCCGGAGTGTGCACAGTTGCAGTATGAAAACATTGGCTTTAGGTTAAACCTCAAAGCTAGACAATGAGAAGAGATATAAAGAAGACTGAAGGAAAGCAACTGGCAGAGGACCAGGGTCATGGCACAGTGAGGACACCATAGTAAGCAGCGCTGTGGTGTGAGTGTAAAGATGCCAGAGCATTCTGGTACAGTGAGAAATAGTGAGCCTCTCTTAAAGCATCACCTCTGTCAACCAAAGGGCGGAGAGGAGGATTCAAGGGCCAATCAGGTGAGTCCTAAAGAGGTGAAGAGAACCCCATTCACGTTTACATCACTGTGTCTCTGTCTCACAGGTTCATCCACGCTGTGACAAAGGACGGGATACCCTTCCATTCTACGGCCACATGGTAGTCATTGCTTCATGCCCTGAGTCACCATTACCCATTCCCCTGTTGATGGGCATCGGGTTGATTTCTTGGCTGCTGTGATAGGTACTGCAATGAACTTGGGAGAATGGGTGTCTCTTTGATTTAGTTTTCTTTATCTATAAACCCAGAAGTGGGGTTGCTAAATCACACTGCAGTTCTACTTTTAACTTGGGGGAGGGGACTCTATATATTTTTGTACAATGGGTGCACTAATTTATATACCCAATTCAAATAAGGCCCTCACCAGAAGAAGACTAAACAAGAACCACGTATTTTCCAAATATGTTAAAGGAATTGCAAAACATCAGCAGTAAAACAAAGCAGATGTCACTGTGAATTCAAGTCACAGTGAGTAAAAGTCATTAAATTACCTCCTCAAGTACAGCACTACCACACATAGATGGGGCTGAGGAAGATGCTGGGGTGGCTGGGAGGAAGCGGGCAGGGAGGCGGTGGTGCTGGACATGGGCAGATAGATACAGACACATGACGAATCTTCTTCCTCCTCAGCCTATGTCTGTGTGCACTCCCTCCTTGGAGTGATTTCCCAAGAATGGTGCGGCCCCTGAGGTGGAGCGGGACAGATCAACAAACTTTTCTTCTCAAGAGAGAATTTCAAGGGTCTTCTTAAATGAAAATCCCTCTGAGCTAATCAAGATAATAGGCTCAAGGAAACAGGGGTCACATCAATTGCAAGTAGTAAAGGCAAGCCCTCTCTACTGTTTGTATGCAACATAATCCCAGTGGAAAGTCTGTAATAAAGCAGTTTTATTTTCTTTAAATGGCATAGTGTAGCCAAGCCACAGTGTTTTAAAACACTGAGTACTGAAGAACCTGAGGAGGAGATAATAAGAAGTTTGTTACTAGATGGGCATGGTGATGTACACCTCTTAGTTCCCAAATTGAGAGTTCAAGGCCAGCCTGGTCTACCATAGCAAGTTCCAGGACAGTGGGAGACCCTGTCTCAAAGAAAAATAATTGTTACTTTAAAATAAAAAAACAACTGATTATGTTGAAATTGGTTACTTTCATGGATTGTTTAAAATTCCAGGTTATAATCCATCACTGTAGGAAAGTCACAATGGCAGAAGCTTGAAGCAACTAGTCACATTATATCCACAGTCAAGAGAACAATAAATGCATATATAGTTTTTGTTTCCTTGATTGAATGTTTAAATTTCCTCATTCTTATTCAGTTCAAAATCCCTTATTAAGGGAGAGATACTGCTCACACAGAGCTGTGTCTCTCCACATCATATACACACTCCCTCCTGGAGACTCTTCCCAAGTGATTATAGGTGTTTCAAGTTGGCAATTAAAGCTAATCATCCCACACCTCTAGCTGACCTTTGGGCTCTGTGCCAGTAGGAGACGACAGTAAAAGCCAAATGATTAGAAGAGGGGAATTCTCAAGCACAAAACTTGTAAAGATCGGGGGAATGGTTTCACTTGAAGCCAGGCTTCTAGTGTTTGTGATAAATAACTAGGAAGACTAGGATTACAGAGAGGGAGGCATTTTCCAGACTGACTGCAGAGACAGCAAAACAGACTTCATCAATGTGACCTGTGTATTGATGGATAGATAGATAGATAGATAGATAGATAGATAGAAAGATAGATAGATAGATAGATAGATAGATGTATGGATGAATAAATAGATGGGTGGATGGATTATGAATTGGTGGATGGATGGATGAATGGGTGCATAGATGGATGGATAGGTGAATGGATAAATGGGTGGATGGATGGATGGGTAGGGGTGTGTGGATGGATGGATAGATGGGTGAAAAGCAACTGAACAAATAAACAACTATGCTGCTAATACCACAACAAACCACAGAAAACTCTGGGATTGGTGGGGCACCTCACTTTCAGAATCAACAAAATATGACTTATAAACTGTCTAATTTTCAATAGGTCAAAAATCACACAAAGATATAATATTAAAGGAAATCCTGAACCAACCACAAAAGAGAATAAACCTAAACAGAAACTATTGCTTTAAAAGGCCAGACACGGAACTATTAAATGTTTGTGCAACTGAAGGGAACCAGGATGGTGACATATAAACAAACAGACACTTCCAATAACTTCCTCAAATTCTTCTAAAAAAACTGAATAAAACAGAAAAGTTACTAGCTCATGATCTGAAACCAGAATTGCCCTGGCACCAAAGTTGGAAACCATAAGGACCTCCATATCAAACATTAATCATGAGTGTAAGTGCAATAATCCTTGGCATAATGCTAAGAACAGGATCAGGACTCTTATTATTGCTGCCTAACACTTCACTGGAATTCTAGCTCAAGCAGCTAGGAGACAAAGTGGATAGAAGAAGAGGCATCCAACTGGAAGGAGTAAAATAGAACCATTTATAGTCACACAAAACAGTGATCTATGGAACAGAGATCAAACCAGAACTAACAAACGAATTTAACTAAGTTGCTTCACACAGGGTATGCTCCCCAAAGTCAATTTCATTTCAACCAAGAAGGAAAAATGTGGAATTGAAGAATACAATTCCATCTCTAAGATCATTTGTTGTAGACTGAGTTCATGATGTCACCAAACCCATGTGCTAAGTCCTATGTGCCAGTGATGTTGTTGGGAGGGAGGCAGAGCCTCAAAGAGTTATTGCATCACAAAGGTTCAGTCCTCATGAGTGGTACTGTTTTAAGTTACTCTTGGCTCTCCTATCCATTGTTCAAGGTCACAATAAAAGGGAGTGGATTGGGGGGAGAGGGAAGGTGGTGGTGATGGGGGACTGCAAGTAGAAGAGCAGGGGAAACTTCAGGTGGTATGTAATGTAGGAAAGAGAGAAGAATTGTTTAAAGAAAGAAAAAGAAAACCACAGCAAAACACAAATGTATGTTTACCAGATCTCCTGGCAACTTGCTTTATACTTTTCTAGCCCCCAGTATTGTAAGAAAAGAATTTGTTGTTTAAACAATCCCGTCTGTGGTACCTGAACTAATATTGAATTCAAATAAATAAAATGCCTAAGAATAATTTCACTCAGTGTACTAATATATACATATACATATATATGATAAAAGTTGTAAAATATTGCTAAACACAGGAGACATAATAAATGAGAAACACATCATGCCATTAATGTGGCATATTACTTGATGCTCTCTAGACAGTCAGTACAGCTTCTCTACAAATGCAATGGTTCTTTTTCTCCATGTGGAACACAACCTTAAGTTCATTTATTATTGACAAGGATACTTGAGTCTCCAAAAACAGCCTTTAAAATGTCACAGAATATCGAAGAGTTAACTCTTGAAATTTTTAAATTTACCAAGAAGCTACAGGAGGCAAAAATACTGTCATGTTCTGTCACAAATGTAGTCCTACAAGCCAACAGAATATTGAGTACAGAAATAAAGCCATGCTTCTAGTCCCAACTGGACCTTGACAAGTGTCCGAGCCTGTGCAATCCTCTCCAACAAATGGTGCTAGAATAACTGAATATCTACATATTATGGGTAGCACTGTGCCATGGTCCACAACATACACTAAACTGACAAAAACAATCCAGTAACTTAGGTATAGATACAAATGACTTGAATATAAAAATTTATGATCATTAGGAGAAAGTAAAGGTGTAAAGTATGCTGCTGAGTGTTTTGAAAAATCCATCAACAATAATACCCAGAGCATGAGAATCAAAATATCAAGAAAAAATTGGATTTCATCAAATCTGAACAACATGGTGACACCATGGCTGTAATTACAGCACTCAGATGCTATCACTGACTTATGAGTAGGCACTGTCTCAATAAAATAAAAGAATAAAAAGAAAAGATAACCCTCAGATATGGGAAAATATTAGCAAATCAAGCACTTTTGTAAGGGTCTGTCATCTACAACACAGTTTCCTATCTCAACAGCAAAAAGGAAAATAACTCAATTAAAATGTGTGGAGTTGCTGGGCATTGGTGGTGCACGCCTTTAATCCCAGCACTCGGGAGGCAGAGACAGGCGGATCTCTGTGAGTTCGAGGTCAGCCTGGTCTCCAGAGCGAGTGCCAGGATAGGCTCCAAAGCTACACAGAGAAACCCTGTCTTGAAAAAAAAAGTGTGGAGTAGTTGAAGATTTTGAATAGGCATTTCCCCCAAAAAGATACCCCAAAATTCAGTAAGTAATGCTTAACATCGAACTCAAAGGGAAATGTAAATCAGTAGTATACTGATTACATAAGGCCCTTCATAGAAAAACAACAACAATAAATAAATCACATTTTGGTTAGTCCCCTTCCATCCATTCATTTCCCACTTCTGTGTTTAAACCATATCCTTGTGGTTGTCAGGAAAAACCTATAGAGTGTGTGTTAGCATATAACCCTTTGAACCAACCCGAAAGTCAATGTAAGCAGATAATTCTCCTCTCTTTGTCACCACCCACCTGATACTGACACCCATGCATTTGGATAATGCTTTGACCTGTGACTTCCTTTTGTTCTGTAGCTATAAAAATGTCATAAAGCTTCCTGCATTGGAACATTTCTCAGGAAGTGTTCTGCTGAACAACCTGAATCTGCTCCTGGTCCATCATCACCCATATTCGGAATAAGAATAAATGTAAATTCCTTTTGAGGTGTTTTGGATCCACAGAACATGGTCATCACTGATGGTGAGCATATCGAATGCAAATCATCCCTCTCTTTGGGCTCTCTGGCATGAATGAGACTTCACCTAAGACCCTGGATGATACACTAAGCAATGAGATGAAAATATGTTATCTGTTTGGGAAAAGGCTCGCTTGCCTCTTGCAAGGGGCAGTGGTTCCTGGCGTGCAAACTTTCTTCACATGTGGAACTGCCTAACTCCTCACTAATATGCCAGGGCACTTCACAGTTAGAAAATCTTCTCATTTGTTTGTTCTTGTTCTTAGATGGCCAGCTAAGACCACAAGCCCATGCAGACAAAAGGTCACAGAGTGTGGGCAGTAGGCCTGGCCTGCATACCTGTGTCCACAGCACAAAAGAACAGGAAATGTAGTGTTTTAAGTGGATTTGGGGTTTTAACTCCCTGTAACAAATGTGTACAGCAAATCTTTCCCAAGCATTATTTTAAATGTTGTGTTTAGTTCTGAGGCTGTACTGGCTTGAGTTCTATTGTTAGGGAATCTGTGGCTGATTTCTGAATTCTGCAAACATGAAACAGAAAGCTATAAACAATCATAGCTTTTCAGATGGTCGGGCATTTGTTTGACATTGAACACCAAGAAATGTATAAATGCAAAATAGCACAGGCACCCACTGCAAAGGCCAACCTGCACTCATCTGCCCTTATTTGTTTCTCCATTCCTGGTCATCAAGGGTGGTCTCAAACTCCAACTGTGGGCCAAGGACTCAGAAATCCCCAGTTCCCAACTGACTCTCTTCCCCCTACTTCCCAGCTGTCCTTTTACATTCTTTACCTATTAATTTATGAGGTTTCCTTCTTTCTTATTTTCTCCTCATTAGTAGTCTAACATCAGCAAAATAAAATACATGTGTATTTTCTTCAATAGAGACACTCCAGTATCCTCAGCGATTCAGTCATTGTACGTTCTTTTTTTTAAAGATTTTATTTATTTATTATGTATACAGCATTCTGCTTCCATGTATATCTGCACACCAGAAGAGGGTACCAGATCTCATAATGGATGGTTGTGAGCCACCATGTGGTTGCTGGGAATTGAACTCAGGACCTCTAGAAGAGCAGTCAGTGCTCTTAACCTCTGAGCCATCTCTCTAGGCCTGATTGTACATTCTTAATCAGTGCATGTAACATGAATAAATCAGCAGATGAGTGGACCATGAGGTACATATCATGGGATTTTCTTCAAGTGTAAGATGAAGCAAATTATATTATATCCACAGGAAAATGGATGGAACTGGAGGTCACTGTCTTAAGTAAAAAGAAGAGCCAGAAAGACAAAATACAGCATGATTCTGGTGTGTGTGTGTGTGTGTGTGTGTGTGTGTGTGTGTGATGTATGTGCAGTCCTGTAGTCATGTGTGCATGCGTGTGCATGCATGTCAAATGTATGAGACTATGAACAAGGACTAGGTTTATAGGAAGGGAGAGGAAAACATGTAGGGACAGGTGAAAAAAAAGCTGAAGGGAGGAGGCAGATCAAGCAGGATAGGGAGAGCAGGGAAGGCAGTGGGAGGTGACAGCAAACTAGGATGACACGGGTATATGAAAGTCACTGTGAAACTCATCTCTTCATTCCCTAATGAAAAGTTAACTGAAGAAGACAGCATGCAGACCAGAGGGACCATTCCTTTCTTGAACACTCTGCTCACCGATTATTTTGCATTCTCAAGAGCTGCAAGGTATCAATGTTCCCCCCAAAATTTTACTTTTCAGGGTGCTATTGCATGCGAGAGTGACCTGGTCACATGACTCTGTGAGAAGCCAGACTAGATTAGGGAGAAAAAAGGTTTTGCTGGAGCAGGGCATCGGGTTCAGCAACGTGGTAAAGAGGCCCTTGAGTCCCCAAATACTGGAAGGAGCAGCAAGTTGCTTATCACAGAGCCCTTGTGTCACAGACCTTCCTCTGGCTCAAAATTGTGGGTGGTGACATTTGGGAAATGGGGTGAAAAGTGGATCCTTGTGTCTGGCCACTATTAGAGAAAATACCGTTTTTCTTTCTAAAATTAAAACTAGAAAAACTTCAAGGAAGCAAAAATCAAACTGAAAGCATTCCATTATTAGGAGTAAATAATCCATCATCAAGTACTCACTGGACATTTTTAAAAAGGGGCAAATTACAGCTTTGGGGGGTATGGCAGCCTCGTTTCCATCTCCTTAGGAGATCTCCAGCCAAGGATCACAGGCTGACGCATGAAGATGGTCATCTGTCACTGCAGAAGCCAACACTTCCCCGAACAATAAAAGCAAAACACAATTCCCTCTACTTATCTAGAGTTTAGTATTAGTGTCTCTGAGGCCATATATTTACTGTTGTCCCACAAATCTGTGAGCTCATTCTCTAGTCATTTTGAAAAGGCTCATGTTATAGGAAGCCTGGAGGGTGGCTGATGGGAACCGCAGTTGAAACACTACATTAATTTGAAACTTACAAGCATAAGCCACACTGGACTGAATCCTAAGCAGACACAGAGCAGGACCGGTCATTACCTTTTCGTATAGTCGGCGTGTCACTGTCTGCAATCAGTTGCAGACAGTCTTGAGTGACTGAAAAGCAAAAACACAATGTTTTAGTTATTGGAAGAAACAACAAGGCCAGGAAGGAGACGGGGAACACTCAGCCTGCTTCCCCAGAAGCACTAACAGTCTCTCCCTGCTGGCACAATGGCACCCTGAAAACAGCTTTGTGAAATCTGCCCACTTGCTGGAATCTAAACACCCCGAGTTCCTGATACCCAAGGAGAGCCCTCCATGTTTTGAGGATACAATGAGAAGCCATCTGATTTCTTCTGAAATATTTCTAAGAAGTATTCTTTTGGGTTATTTCTTTTTATTATATTTTTATTATTTAAAATAATTTCTAAATTTAATATACTTTGATCATATTCTTCCCCTCCTCCAACTCCTTCTAGATCTTCACCCTCCCTACCCACCAAACTTTAATTGCTTTCTCAAAAAATAAAAATAAACGAAGCACACACAAACTCAACACAACAACAAAATTTCTCAAAACCAAGAGAACAAAATAAAACAACACCCTAACTGAAAACAACAACAAAATAAACACAAACTGCACCAAACTTTAACCAAATAAAAGAACACACCAAAAACTGTAGAGTTGCTGGATGGTGGTGGCACAAGCCTTTAATCCCAGAGGTAGGTGCATCTCAGTGAGTTTGAGGCCAGCCAGGTCTACAAAGTGAGTTCCAGGACAGCTAGGACTGTTACACAGAGAACCTGTGTCTTGAGAAACAACAGCAGCAACAACAAAAACCAACAAACCAAACAAACCAACAAAAAACAAAAAAACAACAACAACAAAAAACTATGGAGACCATTATATGTTGGCCAACTATTCCTGAACTTGAGGCCTGTCTGGGTGTGGTTGATATACCCTGTGTCACTCCATGAGAAAACTGATCTTCCATCTCCCAGCAGGCATAAACAGCAGTTCAGTTGTTATCCTTTGCCCTAGTGGCCAGATTTTCATTCATTCATTCATTCATTCATTCATTCATTCATTCATTCACTCATTCATTTTTAAAAAATATAATGAAACAAAATATAATATAATAAAAAATTATCTAATCGAAGTTGAACAAGACAAACCAACAGAAGAAAAAGAAGGCAAGAGAAGGCACAAGAACCATAGACTCGCTTGTTTGCACCCTCAGAAACCCCTGAAACACTAAGATGGATGCCACAACATATAGCTGGGGACCTAGTGCAGCCCTGCCCCATGCCTGTTCTTTGCTTTGAAAATTTAGGCTTATAAGAATTTCTAAGATGATTTTCATTAAAAAAAAATCTAATGTTACATAGAGAATTGTTACCAGAAACATGACTTTTGCCATGACTGAAAATGAAAATTACTCTCAGAATTTATTGAGAGGTCAGCTTAGTAAATGCCATCCTAAGGTTTGTTATGCACACTGTCCTTTGATATTGACAATTCTAAAATCCAGGTCCTGGAAGGCTAGGCTTAGAGTATAGAAGCTTCTTCAGAGCCTCAGGGATGCCAGGGATGGGGCCAGACTTTAAATTCTGTGTATTCACTCTATAGCCTAAGTTGAGGATTTTTTTTTTTTGGCAGAATATTTTGTATGGAAGAGAAAGGTAAAAAGCACCTTGAAAAGCACCATGCTCCAAAGCCACAGAGAAACCCTATCTCGAACCCTCCCCCCCAAAAAAAAACAAAACACATTGTTAAGATGGACTTTGGGAGCCCATTCCACATAAAGGGCTGCTGCCTGAGCCTACACTCAAGGGGGAAGGCCTAGGCCTTATCACAAAGGCTATGACAGACTCTGAAGACCCCCTATGGAAGGCCTCGCCCTCCCTGGGAAGCAGAAAGGGTATGGGATAAGTAGGGGCAGGGGAGGCAGAGGGAACTGGGATTGACATGTAAAATAATCTTGTTTCTAATTTAAATAAACAATGGAGAAAAAAACTTCTGAAATAAATAGAACAAAAAAATTTTAAAAAGAGTTTTGTGAAAGCTGGGCAGTGGTGGCTCATGCCTTTAATCCCAGAACTTGAGAGGCAGAGGCAGACAGATCTGTGAGTTCGAGACCAGCCTGGTCTACAAGAGCTAGTTCCAGGACAGGCTCCAAAGCCACAGAAAAACTCTGTCTCGAAAAACCATAATAATAATAATAATAATAATAATAATAATAATAATAATAAAATAAATGAATAAAAATAAAAGGGTTTTGTGAAGCTGTACATGTCAGTGAGACCTGGAATCATCAGGTCCAACCACACAAGTCGAAGGAGCAAAGAACAACTGTTAAATAACAGAAATGACCCCAAACAAATGTAGGGCCTGTCTGTTGCTGTGAAAGAACAATGAGAAGCAAGGAATGCCTGTGTAAGCACAAATCCTAGATCTAAGCATAAAGTAAATAAAGTAAAATAAAATTAAATGTACCAGGAGGCAAAGGCAGGGTGATCTCTATACGTTCTAGGCCAGCCAAGGCTGCATAGTGAGAATCCCTCCCTCAAAAAAAAAAAAAAAAACTAATAATAAAGCTTTTTATTCATATGTATTCTTTGTACAAAGTGTTGAGTTCCATAGGGTATTTTTTCTTCAATATATTATGTACTCTGACAATATCCACTCCTGTCCCCTCCTATGAGCCCATCTCCTCTTCCCAATCAGTCCTTCTTCTACTTATGTAAATGTGCTTGTGTGTGTTGGGGGGTGTGTGCTCAGGCGTGGTTTCTCGAACAGGCACACACTTAACATTCTAGGTTCCACATATAAGAGAAAATGTGACATTCATCTTTCGGGGATCTGGCTTATTCTTCTCAACATGATGATCTCTACTTCTGTCAATTTTCCTGCATATGACATGATTTTGCTCTGTATAGCTGAGTAGAAGTCCACTGTATATGTCTGATTTTAAGGAAGGGATAGTTTAGAGTTGCACCATATATGAGGTCTTTAGTCTGACTACAACAGTATTTGATGTCCATCTTCTTGATGAACACACTGGTCATGGTATGGAATGTTTGCTACCTCTCAGTGTTGAATTAAAAATGTACTTACATTTGAAACTTGATACAACAAAGTAACAATGAATTAATCTTGAGCTGTCAAACACAAACTGTTAAAGAAATCCTCCCCTGGCATTTGAAGATGGAAATATAACACTAAAAACTATAAATCTTTATATCCATTTTGGTTTTTCAAGACTGGGTTTCTCTGTGTAACCTTGGCAGTTCTGGAACTCGCTCTGTACATCAGGCTGGTCTTGAACTCAAAGAGATCCGCCTGCTTCTGCCTCCTGAGTGCAGATTAAAGGCCAGCAACACCTGGCTCTAACTTCTTATGTTCTTGGACCACTCTGATTGCAGCAGAGATAGCAAAGCTGCTGGAAGGCACCAAGCCTTAGAAAGTAGCATCCTGCTGGGTGGTATCTCAGCACTCAAGAGTCAGAGATAAGCAGATCTATGTGAGTTTGAGGCCAGCCTGGTATACAGAGTAAGTTCCAGGACAGTTAGGGCTGTTACACAGAGAAACCCTGTCTCTAAAAAGAAAAAAGAAAAAGGAAAAGGAAAGGAAGGAAGGAAAAAAGGAAGAGAGAAAAGAAAGAAGAAAGAAGCATTCCCTCACTTGAATTGGTGCAGAGAACTATTTGTTCTAGTCGTTTTCGTATCCTTGAGATGAAAGTAATCAGGCCTGTGCCAGGGGGAATCAGGTTAGCTCCAATTGAAAACATGGAGAAGTTTGATGGCAGGCTGAATAACTGTGAATAAGGACAGCTTGGAAGAAAAAAAGGAACAGTGTCTACAGCCCTTGAGCCCAAACTACAGAGAATCCAAGCAAGTTATATAGAACTGTCGAATTTGTTCTTAGTTTCCCCAGAAATTGTTCTTGGATAGTTGCTGTTCGTAAGATGCCTCAGCTGGTTATGTGGGTAGTACATGTGCCAAGTGAGTGGACACAGCTCTCATCCTTGCCTCACACTGGAAAAGGGAGGGTGTTAAACAAAGACAAAGCTACATTGCCGAATTTCTAATCCTTCCATTGTTGTTGTGGTTGTGTGTGTGTGTGTGTGTGTGTGTGTGTGTGTGTGTGTGTGCATGTCCATGTGTGCGTGTGCATGTGCTATGTGCATGTGCATGACAATTGAAAGAAGCAATGCTGATGAAATCTTAGCATTTATAGCCTTATAGAGCAGCCATAGAGTAACACTGTCAGTAGTGTGAGCACTTTTGATATTAGCAGAATCCAGTCCGACAACTCAGAACATGCTAGAAAGTCATTGGTAAAACATGTCATACTAACTGAAGCTATTAAGGCTACATGCATGACCTTCCTACTGACTGTTTCTTTAAGTAGGAGACTGCCACAACGCCAATATTTGTGTTCTACCAAGCATATATATTGAAACCTACCACCAAACTGGTAGAAAGATATCATAATTTAGTTCTAGCTGAACTAAATAAAACTCAGCTTTAGCCTATACATTGGAAAAATGTTTTATCATATAGCATGAGAAATCTAACCCTTTTAGAAGAAAATGTCTTTTGAAGAAAAAAATTATTTCAAAAACTGCTCCTCAGAGAATAAAATAGGTTATCAAACTGGCAGTTCAGAAACAGCAACTCAACTATTCACCCAAGTCCATTGCTTCATCAGTAGTACTTAGTCTAGAGAAAGTCTTTGGCCTTTTGAAAACACTTTATTCTTGTAAGAAATTTGAAATCTGTCATTAACTTTTTCTAATTTGTTTGAGAACCATTTAATACACCTCTTATTTTATAATACCCATAGTTGTACAATGAAAGATTTGCTGCACAGTGGACCAAACTCATACAACTGAAGTGTTTCCCAACAGTGGAATATCTAGCCACACCATTTTAAAGATACATAGTCTATTGGAAGAAACAGATATCGATAACAACTGTGAAATTCATTGATAGTGTTTAGTATTTCATGGGTTTAAAAATACATTTCTCTCTTACACAACTGAAATTACATGAGATGTTTAGCATAGTTTCTTTCTTAGCTAAAGCTGACACTGCTACTCATTAAAGCC